GGCCTGCAAATCATCTGGCTCATTAAGGCCCTACAAAAAAAAAATCATTCTAGTAAATGATATGAATTTCTGTTCCATATCTCTTTACAGATGCACCAGCCACTTGTTCACCTCCGCAGTCTTGGAATGTAATAAATTCCTTGACTACAGGCTGGTGCATGCAGAACACTGATGCTGACAGCAAATTGCTGCCTACAATTTGGCACAACAGGCTTTGTAGCAATCAACAAGCATTAGCATCAATTGGATTGCCATAGCATGAGCCAGTATAGCAAAATCTGGAGATAGCAAAGGCATCAGCTTTAGACTGCAATCAGCTACCTGGGCCATAGTCTGGTAACTGGGAATTGGAATTTGCATATATTGATGACATTTTGTGCCTGCTTGAAAAGAACTCAGGTGAAATAGATAATGTACCTATCAAAAAAGAGGAGCATTTGTCAGCAGGGATTGTCTTATCAGCATGAGGCAGTCTATCATCTGGCCCTTGCTGATGATGGTTTTACCCCAGTCATCTTTACTGGTTTAAACTGGAATCTTATTTGCCCTAGTCAAGTAGGATTGCAAGTCCTTCACTGCAATTAGAGATAGATATTAATTAATTCCAGAATTACTGTATCCCTTCTTAAAGCTTATGGCTAATACCTCTATCTATGCTTATTTGCAGCACAGGTAATAATGAAAGGAAAGCAAACCCCTTAAGAAAGTTTAGAATTTGAATACCAAACATACTGTTATGGAATACAAACATACTGTCATGGAAGAACTGTAAATCCACCTGAAATTGTTAATATACCACTGTTTTAAGATACAGAAATAGCTAGTTAAGCCAGATATGTGACTGCCATTCTCATACCTTCTAAAAATCAAGACATGATTTAACGTGTAACCACAGGAAATTCTTAATACTAACAGTTTCACCATAAAGTCAGCTATACCAGAAACTAAAAATGTTACTTGTGGTTTTATATGCTTGTGCTTTGAAAACTTTGCAGACATTACATGGGGTGGAATTGAGGTATCTCTGATTATAGTTACCTTTGTTCTACAGTTTCCAAAAGCCCTTGTGGAAAAAAAAAAAATGTACTGTGGCCACAGCCATGGTAAAATCTTATCACCTTCCTCTCCCCTTCTTCCCCCCAGCCAATATCATTGTCTAATCCTGAAGTATGGTACAAACATAGATTTCTGTTAAAGAGGAGGTGTGCTTGCATCCCGGTACTACAGACATCTGAGGATGTCAGATCCTCTGACATTCATCCTCAGCGCAGGATGGATTCAGCTGTAGATTGAATTATGGATCTGTGATGGTGTACAATTGCAGCACAGTATTTAGAGTACAAGCCGTACCAGCTTATGTTCATAGGGAACAAAAAACACCCCAGAATCTTTCCAGTAAATCCATGCCAGGTAGATATCTAGCCCCCTAAAGAGAGATGCACTGCAGGCATTGCATAGTGAATCTGTATTTTCCACAAGTATTCAAAGGGAACTAAAGTAGCATTCAAAATTACTATTTATCAGCTAACCAAGACTATCTCAGTGATAAAGCAAAGTTAGTTAACCTAAGGGTGCAAATGTTTGTGTATTTCAGAACTGGCACTTGCATAATTGTCTGAACTATGAGGTGCTAAAGTGTGAAGCCAACAGAGTCTAATCACATTCAGTATCTGCCTTCTGCCTCCTCGTGGCTGTCAGGACAGTTTCTCATGACACAGGACTGATGTTCTAGCATAAGAACCTGCTAAACCTAGCAGGCAGGTTTGTTATTAAAGTGAAAAAAATCCCAAAACTTAAAAAATAGCCAGGCAGATCCTTGCTGATATTAATGAAACAAATAGGCCTGATTCTCAGTTGCATTAAGGCTCCTTTTCACATCTCTGGCCATACAAAGTCACCAGCACAAGCATCAACAGGTTCATACTTCCCATGAAGGTGTGAGATATGGGAATACTGATAGGAGAAGCTCTCAGTATTAATGACAGTGGGTTCAGAGGGAGGACTGACAGTGTGACTCTTAGCTCAGAGTTTCTATGAAAGGGCCTGGGAGACAGGTAGCTGAAGGATGAACACCACCAAAGATTTCCATCAGCATCTAGGACGTGTTTCTGCTGAAGAGATATTGCCACAATAATGCTCAAATGGCAGGAAGGAACACAATGTGAGGAAACTGGGCAAATTAATGCTTTAATAACGCACAAGTAACAGTGTCATCCATTTACCCAAATCAATTAAATGAAGAAGGACAATCTCGTTTCTAGGCGGTTTGCTAGGAGAGATTTGCCGAGGGCTTCTGCAGCTCCATACCCCTCTATTCCTGAAGCGCTATTGCCCTCTGGCTGTGAGCCTCGGTCCCTGCACGGAGCACAAAGACCTGCTGCTGCAGTCCTGTCCCCAGCCAGTTTTGGTTGCAGCCCGCGATGAGAGATGCCTACTGTCACAAGAGTTCAGGTTCCCAAGGCCACAAAAACTAGTAATTTCTAATGTCACTCAGTTTTGGTGCTGTGTAAAGCGATAAACAAATGTGTCCTTTCCTCCGAGAAAGAGCTACCATGGCCTGAATACAGATTGGAAATGAATCTGGAGCTCTATAATAAAATTCTACCAGGAAAAAAAAATAAAAAATTATAAAATCTTTATGTCTTTTATAACTGGAATTTTTATTCCTGAACTGATAAAAGTCACTCTCAAGATTAACAGCAATAACACTTTTTTTTCTTTTCCCCCCACTTTACCTGACCACACATTTATTTTATTACTCCAAGGTCTGACAAGCTTAGATAATATAATTTCTCTATAGAAATTCAGTGTTTACACAGAAAAGAAAGTTCTACTCTGAATGGAGCAGGTATTGCTGTCTTCTTTAATTCTCTATGTAAGTCTGGGTCTTGTAATTATTGATGTTAATATAAAAGGCTGCCCAGTTTATTTCAAGATTGCAAAATCAAGTGTAGTCAGCTAAGGGGCTTCTCCCTGCCTGGGGGATACATGTTCCCTTTAGTCTCCTTCAATTAAAAGCCCTGCCCAGCAAAAAAAAAATAATAGAGAATTCAAAAGAACTGCTGAAATGTCATGAGTGAGGATGATGAAAGTGCTTCTTCCTTTTTTCAGGAAGGACCCCACAGAAGACATTCTTCCACAGCAAGAATTCAGTGATTTTTCTCCAAATGCCTCTTTGGACCAGGCTCCACAGGGTGCATTGGCAGTGAAACCTGGTGCAGAGTTCAACAAGTCAGACAGGCAGACAGTGAATCCTACATTGCAGCAGCTTTGCCTTCTTAGCACAATAAAACTGGGCTGAGAAATACAGTAAAGCCAGTAGAACTGCTTTTCCCTTGCCATCTCTTGTTTTCTCATCCTCTGTTTCCTGTGGTTTTTCTGTCCTTCTCAGACAAATCTATGTAAAACTATGTTCCTGACTGTATCAAGTATATTAATTAATAAGTGATGAATATTGCTGGTGAACTGAACCGAATGCTTAAAGCAGTATTTCAGTCTTTCTTCCTCAGAGGCAGTGGGGAAGGAAGCTGAAATGGATAAAGTAAAAATCCAGATCTGAGGACAGTAGGAATAACAAGAGCAGAGGGAATTGGATGGGATCATGACAGTCTGCTCTAAACCAAAAGTGATTCCATCAGAAGGATGAAAGTCCTTCTAGGTCAGGAAGGCTTTCTATCAATCAGCTGAGCACACAGACCTGCAGTATTTTTAAGGTTATTTTTCTCAGGCTACTTTTAACAAGATGACTTTCACAAAGACCCAATCCTGTCTCTTCCAACAGATTTGAGGGGTCTTGTTGGTGCATGTGAACTGTGAACATTTGTCATACATCTCCAGCCATCCAAGCTGTCTCTTGGATATTCTCTTACAACCCAGCAGACCTTTTGGAGGAAGTTTCCTCAAAGTGAATGTAAAGTAAATAAAAGCATGTTTCCCCCAGCAAATGTCACCATGATACTTTTGTACTGTACCTAGCAATGAAGTTTTGCAGTAGCAAACTACACAATGAATTTTAATGAAAAATGTACATTATCATAGAGAGAGAAGTTCTGGAAGGAAAGCAAATTTTTATCAGAAGTGTTTCATAAGTGTGTGTCCCTTACAGGTGTAAGGGGTTTAACCACTAATGGACTGATCCCATCAGTTATTTTCTGGAGCCTGGGCATGAGCTTGGCACAGCTTTGTACTGCACACTCTACAGGAAGGTCAAAATCTTCAGGAAATTTTCTTCCCATTACTTTATTTTATGGTTGGCTGCTGGTTTTTTATCACATTACCAGAGATATGTTAAAAAGCTGAAAATCTTTGGCCACCTACATGATGAACTACACACAGAACAGAGGTATCTTCTCCCTAACAAAGAACTCACTGGAAGATGGGGAAATCATCAGGAAACCATATTCAGAGAACCCGTGCCCAAGTATGCTCATTATTTTTATTATTTGCTGCAAGAAGATTTACTTTTTTTGACACATGGAAAGGCCTCTTGTGATTCTGTGATCTTATATAGAAAAATCAATGTAACTACAGTCATGGGAGGGTGGAAGGGAAATGTTGTAAATTTCCATGATTCTGTAGTGAACTCATATAGCAAGAAACAAAATATTTATGAGGTGAACATCTTCAGGGTACATGTTACAGCTTCTGGCTTTAATTAATAGCATGACATAGATCTAGCTGGGAGAAGCATAAAGGGGGTTATCAGCACTGCCAAAGAGCCACCATTTCTCTTTCTGGGATATTCAGGACTGTCTCAGACTAGGGAAAAATGGGTGATAGAGAGATTTCAATAATGTGGTTCCCTGCCTTGTTTCTGCAAATTGCTGTGAGTCAGCAAGAATCTTGAAATGAAACTTGAAGCTGAACATTTTGTCATGCCATTCATAACTCACCAATGAAATCTATTTCCTATAGCACACAGCAGAGGACAAAAGGCTTCAGAAAGAGATTAACCCAAATCATGAAGGTAGTGTCTGTTAGATACCATCAAACATGAAATACATTGCATATGCAGATCTTTACTTTTATACACACATATATATGTGTATGTATGAAGAATATTTTTTTTTTTAAGGCACACTATATATGTATTACACACTATTCTCACAGCCACTCCTGGTAATTGTTGAGGTTAGATGTGCTAATTGGTCCTTTTATCATAATACTGTTCAGAGATCACCTGGAATATGTTCTCTCCAGCATCAATTTTGTGGAAGGCTTCGCAGATTACAGGTATCCATTCCACCTTTCTTTCTTTTGACATACCTGCACTATCGGGGAGCAACTTATTTATCCACTTACATGTTTATTAGTGTCTATTTTCTGCACGCCTGCAGCCTCCCTAGTGAGCTCTGCATTGGTGCAGTAGAAAGCACACAGTTCTTGTGCACAGTGCTTACCAGTCAAAGTCTGCGTCCGTGCACACGCAGGGCTCTGAGGTCATAGCCCCAGCAAACTTCCCTTGCATACATTTCTTCTCTGACTTGCGCTTCCTGTAGATCCTTTTTGCTCCCATGATACAAGCTTGGCCCTGGAAACAAAACCAAAAAATTTTTTTCTCTGATACCCACCAGGCTATTTGTACAGTACAATTTTTCCAAGCCTGTGCTATGGGAGCTGTGACTCAGGAGAAGATGGGAAGTCAAGTGCCATGTCAGTACACTGAAGCTAATTAAAGCTACTGAAGCTTTAAGTGAAACTAAAATGGCTTTTCCAATGCACACTAAGAAATCAGCTGAGGTTACTTATGTATTTGATGCAGTTCTCAATTTGTTCCAAAGCCAATGAACAATTGATTCAGGCCTATTTCTCATTTACAGATCAGGTTCCACAGCAACTGGAAACAGTCTGATCCATCTGCAATCTGAGACAGAGAGCAGGTCTATTTCTCTGGTCTGGTATCTTTGGTAAAAATTTTTCTCAGTGGAAACTTGTAATTGTAGGAAACTGTTACTAACGATAGCAAACTAGTAATACGTAAATACTTTCCACAGACTATGAGGTCAGATTTTACAGGGTTTGATTTCTTATGTGGATTATAACATTACCTTGTTTTTTCACTACTAGCTTCAGCATCTTGCTGAATATTTCTGCCTAGGGAACAAGGCTTAGACTTGTAATCTCAATGGAAAACAAATCAAGAGCCACGAGTCCACAGCAGCCTTCCTAAAAAGAGTTCTGCAAACAAGGGCATGCTGCAAAATCCCTGGCATTTTTGCTTATGCAAGCACAAGAAAGTAAAAAACCCAAAAACTAAACCAAAATACAGTGGGGTGTCACTTGTTACCATTTACACTGGTAACATCACTGTAGGAAAGAGACAATTTATGGCTTTGATTTTCCCATGAAGCAGAAGGGCACAAATGGCAACTGGTGTAAAATGATGTGCCTCCTTGAATTCCAAGGAAGCTGTACTGATTTTCAAATTCTAAGGATCTAAGTCATAACTGGTATTTTTAGTGTGGAGTTTGCCTTGTGTGAGCAGCTAGTTCATTTCACATTCATTATTAAATTCTTGCCCAGCAAGATACATTCAGAAAGATAGCCTTTGATAATATAAATGGGTGTTTTCACTTTAGACTTCAGTGGAGCCTGTAGTGTTTACATAACCACAGAATTTGGGCCATATTTTATTTTAACCTGATATGAAACAGGCAATTGTGTCAGATTTGACAGAGCTAGGAAGGTGCCCAAAGGCAGACACAGGCATAGCAGGGAGCACATTACCTTGCTGGGCACTTAAGCAATGGTTCCAGGAGTGATGCAGAAGCTGCATCCAGGATGCAAGGAACAGAGTATAGGGGCCCTACAGACTGAGGAATAAAGTGCCTGACTCTCACAGCAGAAGAAACACTGCTGAGAGAGACAGAATGAGGATGAAACCAAATGAGTGAGAAAGGAGCATAAGAGGGCAGGAATTTAGAGAAACAAGGGTGAAAGCAACTATAAGGGTCCCAAGGCACTGGTTCTGAGAACACAGAAGGATGGAGGAAGATAAAGGATGTAAGGGGAAATGGATGGGAGTTGAGGCCTCTTTGAGCAGCAGTGCTTCAGATGTTGTTGCATTCCTCTGCTCTGGTTAAGTCTGAGCTAACTACCTGCAAGGAGAATGAAACCCAAAAGGCAGCTGTTCATGTTTTGGGGCTCACAGTGTGCAATCTGAGGCCAATAAGCCTATGTAATGAAACAGACCCATCCAGTAAAAGACAATCTGATACATCAACCTAACAGGAAGAGGCGTTGGATTATGCTCATTTTTAACTGTAGGATCATTAGGTAGCTCAGGTCATATCCCAGCTTCACTGCCTCTCACCTGGCTGTGAAGTTGCCAAGGCCTGTAGTCCTCTTCTGCACACCTCCGATCAAAAATGGACTTGTAGTCAACTTTCACCAGCTGCCAATCTGAGCGGTGGCTGAAATGTCCAAACACTCTAAAGAATACAGCAGAAAGAGCATAACAGTAAAAGGCAGTGCTAGATGGAGTCTGGTAGTTACAGAGCTTCAGTCACCCACAAATTTCCAACAGAGATTAATTGCTTTAGGAGTGCCAGTCCTACTGATTTTCACTTGACTGACATAGTGGAAGTCAGACTTAGGGTCCTGAAAGCCTGCAACCCACTTAAACATTGGATATAGCTTTTATTCTGCAGATCAAGATCCTCACTCAGGTTAGTTTCCAATCCAGATATTCTGTTTATTACTGGTTGGTCCATTTTTTTACAGAGAGAAACCAAGTTTTCCTCCTGTTTTTGCAAACTGATCTGAGGTAAAATGTCACAAATTCTGGCAAGGTGAATCCAGGTTTATACAGCATGCATAGATCAGCTTACCACATTGAAACTAATAATAATTTTTCATGAGTCAGTCTCCAGGCAACATTTTGTCATTCATTTTTACAAAAGAATGTCTTCATTTTTCTCGCAGTTAAAAAAAGAGGAAGTAGCTGCAAAGCACAGCTATAAAAATACTCCACCATTTTTCTTTTAAATATTCATCCATCAGGAGTAAGGCTGCTTTAAATCATATTCAATATAAGCAGTCAGGTTTCATGCTGATAAGCTAAGTGACTGTTTTTGCAGCTTGCAAGGAACCCTGTTGTCATTCCCTCAATCATATCACAAATAAACATAGATGATTTAGCAACAAAGACTGCATACTCCTGGCTTCAGATAGCACTTGGTTTGGTCCCCAACCAGAAATGCTATTATATTATGACCAAGCCTCATAAGCTATTTTTGATGTAGTTCCCACCTACATTACCATGATGGCATTCTCACTTACGTCATGATGAGAGTTTCTTCTCCAGGTTCCCCTAATACTCCATCTACAAACAGTGGAATAGATGTAAAACTATACTTGCTCCAAGATGTCCCTTCATCAAAACTTAACCTAGTGGAGAAAGCAGAATTAGTATCTTCTTTCCTTATTTGCTTCCTGTTTTCTTTAAGTGACTGTCTAGTCCACTACAACTGCTTTGGAGAAATATGGAGCAGCTCCTGTTCTTGGATACTGCATTTTTAGGTGAGTTTTTTTTGGAAGCATCATAAATCAGAGCACTGATCAAACTTATATGGTATCATACTGCTAACCTGTGGCCAATACTTCAGCAGTGGAAACTAATAAAGTTATGCTAGAGACTGATGTTTTAAGGGCAAAATATAGCATAGGGCTAGGCTTTTAAAAAAACAACAAACAAAAAACACCACAAACCACAACCAAAATAAAGTAGTTTATAGCATTTCCTTTTTGGGTCCCCAACATGAGACATTTTAAGGAGGTTAGATTTCTGGAGCACAAGAGCTTTGCCTTTTCTAACCAGCAGTCTTCCCTGTGGTGAGTCTAAGTGAAAGTTTGGAACCACTCATCACTACTTAAGACTTGGGTCTGTGTGTTTCAGATATTGATATGATACCGACTGTAAGGAAAGTAAATAACGCTAGACATCACAAAGCTCTTTTCTATCTACCACATAAACTCAAGAGTGCTAATTACTGGGGGCTCTTTTGCCTTATTTGCTATATAATAACCCTGAACCTAGTCAACAAAATTCTGGTTCATAAGTGCCGCCGGGCACATGGAAGACATGTTCAGCAATAATTTTGAAAACTAAGAGTTCTCTGGCAACTTAATAAGAGATAAGGCCATAATCCAGATTCATATTGCATAAATAACCAAACCCAAGAAACCAGATTGTGGCAAACCAGGGAAGTTGTGGAATTACATTGACAGTTTCTCAGATCTGGCCAAACTGAAACTATGTGAGCCAAAATTGCCAGGATTTCTCAGATTTATCCAAGTCAATGTTTGCCAGCATCTTAATTGATATTTTCTAGACCATAGCTATAGAAAACTCTGGATGCAGCCTAACTGCCTACTTCCTGGATTCTGAAAAGGTAGACAGCTGAACATGTAGCACAGACAGTCATTACCAGAGATGTCTGATAGGCAGAGATGTGTGTTTCATAGCGACTAGTACTCCACCTTGGTCCAGGTACAGAACACTGTGCTCTTCCTCAAAGATCTGGGGAAAATAAATAAATAAATGAATGAAGATCTATTTCCTTAATATGAAGAAAACATCATATTTCTCCAAGTACAATCATGACAGAGGAATGTGCTAAGGAAGCTATTGAATAAAGGAAGGCCTTTTCTATAGACACAATTATTGGGGTTTGTTTTTTATTAGTTTTGAGTTTTTTTGTTTGTTTTTTTTCAACTTCTCCCAGGTCCTTGAAAAAGGCATTCTGCCTCTGCTGGGCAAAAAGTTAGAAACAAGAATTTTTGCAAGGATCAACAGTTTCCCTTCTTTCAATGTCAGATTTTTGTTTAAGGAAGAACTTTATATGTTTGCACGTATCTGCCCCTATCTCACATAAGTGATGTTGACAGAAAAATGAGGGCTGGTCAAACATTGTAAAATAATGAGATTCTTAGAATATCAAATATTTTTTAAAGATTTTCTTTTCCTGTGTCTTCTTTGTATTGACTTTTTGCAAACATTTGCTCTTAAGTTTATACAGCAGCACTTGTCAGTCTGGGAAAGTCACTCTTTCTCTCCACAGCTGGATAACCTACCCAGACAATAAGAAAAACAGAACTTCCTGTTCTGAGGATAAGAACCTTAAAGGGTAGTGATGTTTTGTTAACAGGTGGGATTTCACTAAATATCAGGCATTTGATTTAACTTCATTATCCAGTCATTTTCTGGAATTAATGGAGAGGGAGATAGCTTCAGAACAGGATGAACTAAATTCTGTCTTTTTCTCCAAAAAAAGTGAACTTTGGACAACTCAACTGAGGTGAAATGAGTTCCACCTGTAGTGATGGAGAAGTAGACTAGCACAACTGTGAACTCTCTGGGAATTATAATAATGGATGAAGAGAAAAATTGTTTGAGTGGTTCAAGGGCTGGGTAACAGAAAAGGGAAACCCATATGTGGTCTATTCATATATATTAATATTTTTATCTGGCTTAGACTTTGCTACAGCATTAAACAGAAGTCAAACTCTGAGTAGAATTACAAAAATGATGTCCTGTTATATGATATCTAATGACTTATTCAGTCTTTACCTTCGGGCATCTCTGCACCTCTCAAAGGGAATACAAGGGGTTTTTTTTGTATAGATTTGCAAAAAGCTACTCTGAACTAAAAGAAAGAAAGAAAGAAAGAAACAAAGGAACCTTGTGAACCTACTTCTATGACAGCTTCCAATTATTACTATTTAAATCTGTGATTCTGTGTCCTTTACCTGTCTCCAAGTGTTCCCAGCATCAGAAGAAACAAACATGCTGATGTCATTGTCTGATAGTTCGGTGCCTATATTACCTGTAAGATGAGAATTGATTAGTGATGCGACATTCTAAGAAACAGTAAAATTAGCAAATCAGGAGAGTATATGTATTTATTCAGCCTTTACAATTATAGAAGGTTTAACTTTGGAAAGAGTATCAAAGGGAGAGGCTCACAGTTTGAAGAAAATATGTATAAAAGATCCAATGCATATGGCACTACACACCTCCACAGGCAAAGGAAATGCCCTGGTTGGAATCTAATGTTCATGGGAATAGAGGACTAGAAGTGATGTCCTCAGTCTTGAAGGCCATTTGCCATAGAACACATATGACAAGTTGAAGGTTCATAAGTACTTCTGCTTGACAGCCTTTCTCCCCACTACTAGTGGTGTGACACCCCACAAATCACTCAACAAGCTCCACACCCACCACAAACTCAAGATTTTGTCAGTGTTTGCACATCATATGCACACAATCTTGAAATGTTCCATACCTGAAGCTACAATAATACTCGGGGCAGTATCTCGGCTGGCAATGTTTCCTGAGGTATAGGGATTCTCTGAGACCTTCAGGTGAAGATGAAGGGAGCAATAAGGCTATGGAGAAAGGGGAAATAAAAGTAAAACATAGACACAGCATGAATTGCATGCTCCTATCCCTACAGGCTTAGAAATAAACAGTGTCTTTCTGTATTAATTCCTAATCACTGCATTCAGCCACCCTGAGAATCACACAGCTAGTGTCCCAGTTCTGATGCCAGAGCTTTGCTATCATTTTCTAACACAACCCACTGGGAATCTGATTTACTAGGCTGAAACTCTCTCCCAAGGACAAGATCTTTGAGGCTGTACTCACAAAGGAGGAAACCAGGCTTGCAAGAGCAGGTAATGGCAAGGACTATGTAGCTCCCCACACTCCTAGCTCCTTTGAGAAGCAATCAAGGCTGCAGATATGATGAGGTGACTCTCAGAGCAGCAGTGCTTAAACTATCTCTGCAACAAGAAGCAATATAACCCTAACCATGTGGTGCTGAGTCACCACTGATTAGCCATCAGAAACCATTTAATTCACAGTATCGAGCCATTTCTTCATCATATTTTTGACACATGATTCTGTTCTGCACTGCACTAAGGAGATATACCAGGACTGGAAAGTGCTAGTTTAAAAGTGATTTAACACAAACAACAAAAATTGTTTAATGCTTCACCACCCCATCTGCATGTGACCTTTGAGATTTCAATATAAATACATCCATGGAAACCTCACCAATTTCACATGTCAAGTACTCATATAGGACAGGAATGGTACAGAATAAACCAGCTGAGCAAGAAGGTAAGTCAGACAGGCAGACTTCCAACATTGTCATTATAATTCCCTCCAAATGTGTAGTCTAGAAGTGGGCCCAGGTGAACCTCATGAGGTTCAACAAGGCCAAGTGCAGGGACCCCCACAGGGCCAGGGAAACCAGAGGTATGAATACATGCTGGGGAAAAACATGCTAGAAAGCAGCCCTGTGGAAAAAGACTTGGGGGTACTAGTGGATGTAAAGCTGGACATGAGCCACCAATGTGCAATTGCAGCCCAGAAGGACAACTGCATCCTTGGCTGCATCAAAAGAAGTGTGGCCAGCAGATCAAGAGAGGTGATTCTACCCCTCTACTCTGCCTTGGTGAGACCTCACCTGGAATACTGTGTCCAGCTCTGGAGCCTCCAACACCAGAAGGGTGTGGACTCCTTGGAGCATGTCCAGAGGAGGGCAATGAAAATGATCAGAGGCCTGGAGCACCTCTCTTGTGAAGACAGGCTGAGGGAGTTGGGGTTGTTCAGCCTGAAGAAGAGAAGTGTCCAAGGGTACCTTATAGGGATCTTCCAGTATCTAAAAGGGGCCTATAAGAAGGCTGGGGAAGAGCTATTCACTAGGGCATGTAACAATAGGACAAGAGGTAATGGTTTCAGGCTAGAGAAGTGTAGATTTAGGTAGGACATTAGGAAAAATGTATGTAATATTAAGGTGGTGGATCACTGGAGCAGGTTGCCTAGAGAGGTGGTGGGGACCCCACCCCTGGAGACATTCAAGGTCAGGCTTGATGGGGCTCTGGGCAATCTGTTCTAGTGTGAGATGTCCCTTCTTATTGTAGGGGGGTTGGACTAGATGACCTTTAGAGGTTCCTTCCAACCCAAGACATTCTACGATTCTATGATTCTAATAATTTCTGAAAATTTCTGATAATTTTTGCCTTCTTTTGGTTTTTATTTTCAGTATTTTTTCTTCCAAAGCACATAAAGAGTCTTCATGAAACATGCTAAGTGAAGGGAGATGGAAAAATACTGGCAATAAAACTTCAAGCAAACTCACCAAGTTGAGGTGGATATCACACAGAAACATAAATACAGTAAAGCCCATGTGTCAGCTTGCATGGCTCTGTAAAATGAGCAGGAAAGGCTATGCAGAAAGACCTTCAGGCTCTAAGCAGGCACGTCTTTCTGACTAATATCAGTTGCCTAAGGTCTGCAGCCCCAAAAGTTTTGTAGACTTGCTTTGCAGAAGACCTATCCCTTTAGGTCACTGGAGGAAGAACACTGACCCACCCCATCTCCAGGTAGGTGTCTATGACTCTGAAATTAAAATCTCCCTGTGGAGAACAGCAGGTTTTTTTGGCAAATGAGGGTGGTGAGGAGGGATGGGAGCTCTCACTTATGTGAGACAGGAAATGGGGACACAGTGTGTTGCAGAAAGGGAACTCAACCTGCCAAGGGGAATGTACAGAGCAGCCTGACTCTAACTGACAGCCTGGCAAGGGCAGCCCCTAGAGCAGCCCGGGGTGCGAGGAGGGAGTTGAAACCAAATTGAGCTGACATGCATGCAGGAAGTGGAAAAGCATTGCAAGAGCATGAATTCTTCCCTTTTACATTTTCATATGTTGTTGAGAGACAAAATACAGAACATATTTTTAAAAACTAACATGCACCAAGCCTACTTCAGCATTTTGCAAACAACAGCTAATGGCAGCAATTCAGCCAATTCCCCACTCTGACAGAGATTAGACCTCGTCAGACTCAAAACTTTGTGATACCAGAAGTTTCCCTTCAAACTTGTTTCATTTCACAGATTTAGTACACAGAAATAGAACCTATATCTCAAATACTAAAAGCCAAGTCACTGTCTAAGCAGAGAGATGCTATTTTAAGTGGTATGACTTCTTATTGCTTGGAGTACAGTAATGCTTACAGTCTGCAGTGACAATTGAGTGTGGTGTAAAAACCAGCTTCACCACTGTAGCCAAACACCTAGTTATTACCCATGGCCACGTCATATCCTTACTGTGGCAGCATTCTCTTCTCCATCACTGAGGTACACCTTTCTCCACCTGTATCCTTCATCTGTATCTGTTCATTGATGAATATTTTTCCAGACTAGTTTGTGTTCTATCATAGTGTTGGTGCCTTTGTGTTCCTTCTCTAGCTCCCACAGCTTAAGTCATATACAGACACCTCAGCTTTGTGTTTTAGAATCTGTATCAATTGTCTCTATCCTTGTTTTTTACCAACAAGCTACTGAAATAATCATCATCAGACTCACCAATTTTGGGTTTCCCTGTCATTGCCTAGTAACCAGCTGTGCTAGGTGCTGCACTGACACCAAGGGAAAAACAAGCACTGTAATGGACCATCTACAACCTAGGTAGAAGATAAAGAATGAGTAATACAGCCCATTGCTCTGCTCATTGCCATAGCTCTTACAATCATGCTGGAGTTCATTACTTGCTTTCTAGTATTTTCAAGCCAGCCCTTTTATGCTCCCTTCTCAGAAGGCTAACCAGTCCTTAGTAAATTTCTCATAAACACCCACAAGCTCTGGGACAGTCTGCAAAGCCCAGATGAACCATCTCCAGTGGCACAACACATACAAAACAGCTATTAGTGACTGTCCCTGATCAGAAGTCGGGCAAAGTATTACAACACAAGGATGACGTTAGACACCATTCACAAACCTAGAGGTAGTCACAGTATTTGCTTGCCTGCATTAGCAAGGAGCAATGATGGGAGATAAACACTTCCAGGAGAGATATTCAAACTCACTTAGATGTTTAAATTATTCTGTAGCAGATGGCACGAATGCCCCCCCTTACAAGAAATGGGTCTTCGTCCTGAAATCCTTATAATCCATACAGACAAGACAAGCAAAATCTGAGAGGGAATAAACAGATGTCTGGGCAAAGAAGACACAGAGAAAATAAATTACTTGCCCAAGGTCACAAAGGAAATTGGAGACAGGCCTAAAAATTGAATCTAGATTCTCCCGAGATTCAGCTCTGTGTTTTAACCACAGAACCATCCTTGAAAGCTAATTGATTAACTCTCTCAGACGGATTCTATCTTGCATAACTTGCAAGATAGAATTACTCCTCAGTTAACCACTTCACAGCACCAAATAAATATCAAACAAAACCAGCATATTTGGGATATGATACCTTGGCAGCTATTTTATGAAGATAAGGTTTATTCAGCTTAGAAAACAAGGGGTATAAACAAGAAAAAATAAAACCTTGGGATCAGATGGAATTGCTTCCTTCAATCCTTATTATTCAGAGAAATCTCACAAAAAATGCTAAGAAATTCTTTGAGTTGCTTTGAAAAAAAAACACCTTGAGCATACTGTCAGTAGAGGGATGGCTCTGTCTGGCTTGCCTTGTGTTTCAAACAGACTCTCTCTTAACCTCCTTAACTGCCAACTTAGCTGCTATGTATTTATTTCTGCATAAACTCTCCCTTAGCTTATGTTTATCTCCAGATGCACGGAGAAAACAACATTGCACTTGCAGGCTGGGGATGATCATGTCGTTCTGGGAAAGGGCACATCTAATTCTGCCAGCAATCTGGAACATACATCACTGCTGTGTCCTAAGCTATTGGTAGAGACAATTATGTTGGAATCCAGCACTGTGAGAGCATTAACATCTGCTGTGGAGTAAGGACAGGAACTAAGCTACATGTACAGCTATTAAGAATTCACTTAGCTGTGCCATAATAAGGATAATCATGCCAGGAACCGTAATATGTAGAAGGAAAAGGATCAACTGACATAAGGATGTGAAACTGCTGGTGATGCAGTAGTCACAGAGTGGCTAAAGAGGTGAGTGGAGTTTGTGAACTGTTTAAAAACTATAGCTATGTCACATTTACAATGAAGAGAATTGCCTCAGAGCAGGTGACATTTCCTTTTCTTCACACTTTTCCTCAGCAGAATGTCATTATGGATCCCAGACTTATTTCCTGGATCATATAACACTTCCAGTGCTTTGGCTTTCAAAATTTCCCCTACCATGACCATATTCTGAGGTCTTTATCACTCCTTGAATTCTTGTATTCCATATTCTGCCTTCATCTTCCCCCATCATTTACCATGAAGCTGAAAACAGATTTTTAAATAGCTTTACTTTTCCTTGTAGGATAGTTATTTTACTTTGTGGGTTTGGTGCATTTTCTTTACCTCCATTTCTTTTGCAAACAGACTGATTGTTCATATAGAAGACCTGACAAATCAGTTTAGTTTGTATTTCATCTGTTTGCTTTTCTGCGAATTTGCAAGTTGAGGACCTGAGACCTTGTATGCTCAGCTGATGATCCCAGCTCTGCTACTGTTCCGCTAGCTTGTGAGAACCAAAGCATGTAGGAGCGCCCAGACAGGCTAGACAATGAAAAAGACTTTTTGCCTGTTTTACTCGATGTTAAGAGGAAGACACCCATGGACCTAAGATGCCTACCCCAGCCCAAGTCACAGAGCATTTAAGAAAGGAGTTGCTTTCCAGTGGAAAGCCTCCACTGAGCTTGCACAGGAGGAAGTAATTCTTAGGGCAACTACATTGTTGTACAGAGAACAAAATGAAAACAAACCAGTGTTTAAATACTGGTTTGTGCACAGTGGAGCACAAAAGGATGTAAACACAATCCACTGAGAAACAAGAGCTTCCCTGTGTCCCTACAAGTACATACACTTCTGCCCTTGCCCTTGGCCCCTTGCCTGACTTGGTAAACTTTACCATCCTCAAGGGAATTTCACCTTCTTCAGGCATATCTAGTCTCATTTTAAATGAAATTAATTGTGTTCTCAGGTGCCCATGAGGACAATGGCAGAAACACTATGGATGGGAAAACTTAGGGGAGCCATAATCTCCTCTCTCCATAAGAACAAGACATTTCTGGTTTATACACTGTCATACGGCCACTTCCACTACAGTGGATAACGGCAGTGACAGTGCACTCTTGTATATAAAACACACAGTTCCTGCAAATGACTGTTCCACAAGGTCCCCACAGTACTTCTGTATCCTTTAAAACCACAACAGCACAGTCTGATGTCTCTTGATCAGTTCACAACAATACCAAGAAAGATATATTCTCAGGAGTCAAATCTCAAATTTATTTTAAAAAAAGAGATTACTTTCTTCTACTTGTCTTTTATTTCTTCTGCCTTCTCAGTACCCCCCAAAATTACAATATCTTATCATATAATTGAAAAAGTAAAGGTATGGTTTTTTATCAAATATATTGTCTTGAGTTAAAACCAAATCAACAGTCTATTTGAAACACAAAGGCTTATACACATAGCCCCTTTCAAAAAATTAAATTGCATTATGTCTGCAAAGTTTTCGTAATGCTATCTTCTTGGTTTTCATCTTACAGAAATATGCAATTTAAAAATGCCCTCAGTTACAAATTTAAAAAACTTGGAAGAAGAAAACAAACCCAAACACATTTAGTGATGCTCTGAAGTAAGTCTTCTGTTTGACCCTCAGTCCTCTCCTATGTATTTTTTCCAAACTGGAGAGAAAATAAAAGGCTTGCATTTTGCCTCAATAATAGATAAACAAATAAATAAATTATTTGAACAGTTTCAAATATCAATCTATTTATTCTTTGCTCTTGCAATAATGCATAGGGTTCAGTAGAGATTAGTGCAGCATTCAGCTGCATGCCACAGTGCACAAAATACAAGGTTGATTGAGATTTTAACAAACTTACAGCCTCAAAATAAGAAACCGCTGTTTTTTTGTTTTGTTTTTTTTTTTTCTGATTGAAAATAACATGTAGATACAGGACAAGAAAGGGAAGAGCAGTGTAAGTAATGCTCCTAATTCTGCCTGAAACCATGTTAGAATTTGTGTAATATAAATGCTATTGATAATCCTAAAGGCCAAGTGGGGTTCTGAGGATTATCCCACTACTGTGTATCAATTGGCTGAAAAATACCAGTCTAAGCTTTCTAATTTGGCAGAGATCTCCAATTCTATTCACACTACTTATATTTTCTTGCCAGTCCTGGAAACAGTTTGCATATAATGATGATTAAAGACTTACATATCTACATGTCAATCTATATCCGTAAGTACAGAGACAGGTAAAATATACTCAATACAAAGCTATACATATATTTGGAAGAATGTGTTGATTCTCACTTCTGAGCTCAAAGAGAAAATGATAAATATGAATACTGCCAACAGAGTGGCCTTAAAGAAATCAAAGCTGTCCTTTCATTTGAGCACGTCTCGTTACTAGGTTCCCTGAAAGCTCCTGAGCTACAATAGCTCACTCCTCCCATCTAGTGTCCAGAGAATCAACTGCGCACAAACAGCATCCAGCTTCACCTAGAGTTTAGTGGAGACCATCAGTCGTGCAGAAAGGAAGCTGATCTACGATGCTTCCTTTTGTTCCAAAAATTAAATTAAACTAAATTACAATGTCAGCTCTTGATATACCACCCGACAGCCCAAGCCTGATTAATTTCACTTTTCATATTCAATATTCCCTCCATGAGACACACTGCATGGAGAGAAAAGCTGCCCTCTCCTTCTTGTGCTACCTGGTAGAAATAGATTGTTCTGGGATGTTACTACCCACCAAGTTCCTCCCCAGATACTTACTAGGAGACAGTGAACAGGGTTTCCTCTCAGATCAGTATCCGGAGCCCGCAACAAACTCCAGTCTCTCCCTTTATTGTAGGTGATGAAAGTTTTCACTTTGTTGTCAGTCTTCTTGTTAACCAAGAACATTCCCTTTATCCCTGCTACCTAGGAAAAATTGACATGGCTGAAAAATAGATCAAGCCAACACAGGTTCTGTGCATGTGTCTCTCTTGCCCTGTCAAACCCAACAGGGATCTAGTGGCTGTGTCAGTGTGGTAGATGCCAGGGCAGTTGAAATGGAGCATCGAAGGCAAATTGAGGTGCTGGGCACAAGGTAAGACCATCACAGGTGGAAAGCTGACAAATGGAAAAGGCAATCTTAAATTTCAGAATCACCATGGGAACATGGTAAGATGTCAATAGCATTATCTCTTAAGTGACAATCTCTCAACTGTGTAGACATTTTTAGCCCTGAAAGATTAAATAAATATAGAGCAATTATTTGTCTCTTGCACTGCAATAGCAGAAACAGCAGCAACTTTGGCCTTGCAAAGAAAATGACAACACACATATAAACTTTCAATTCTATTCACAGGTAGCCTGCTTAAGGCATTGTAGCTAAGGAGCCCAATGTGTTTCACAATTATAAGTGTTTCAACAGAATAGCTTGGGGCACAGAGGTATTTTTATTAGTTTTGTATTTTGAGGAAACAAAAACACTGGTGACTCAAGCAAGGCCACCCAGAATGCTTCTTATAGAGCTAGCAATGAGATTCTCACCCTTTTGTTTTTCCTGGTGTTTTATCCAACAGCTTTACTGCAGGAGGATTTTCTAAAGATGTGCTACTGCTAACAGACACACATTGGAACCAAGCCCAAAAGTGTCTTATTGGGGAGAAAAAAACCTCAACCTTAAACCACAACTCACACTGCAGAATGTTTCCATCTTCTCAGCACACTGAAAATCAATAGCCCAATAGCTGCTGCAGCTTGCGAATGAATTTGTTAGATTGTCATTCTGCAACCTGAGTGCTGCAATAAAAAAGGAAGCTAAACTGGGAGGTGGGGGAAAGTGAGAAACTTTTTGATTTCCACCAAGTCCGTTCAGTGATCCACCCCATCTCTTCTTATGATATAGAACTAGTACTCAGAATCATTCATCAAGACTTAATTAATAGAAATTATTTATTACTTAAATGGCATCATGTGGCAAATGGTTACACAGCAGACTCAGAATTTGTTCCAGTTCAGCTGATTTAATTACGTCCCTGGATTTGGATGGTACAGCTTACAGGAGGAGTGAATTTCATTTGAAGTTACGTAAAGACATAGACATGACTTGCTATAATGGACAATAATCTTTAAGTTAAGCAGTTAACTAAGTTATTGTTGATCTAAGCATAAAAAAGATTTTTAATTTCTTAGCTGGATTGTTTGGTCCCTCCCAACTAAGTATTCAGGATTTTTTTTGCTGTAGTAGAAAGGCGCCCTGAAAAGATAAGGGTGCTCTTGTGTCCCAATCAAACTGGATGAATAGACAGGGCTGAAAAAATAACATCGTTATGCCTTTACTACCAGAGGCTAGAGCCTACAGCTCCATTTGTACTTTTCTTTGTTGTTGTCCTGAAATAGTTGTATTATATAGTCCCTGTGAAATGCTGGCCATAAATTATTAAAGAGCATTTTATATATCAGGTGATAAATGTGTTCTGAAATCCTGTGAATTTTGCTTTTTATGATTCTAGTCATGGGCTGGGACTCAGAATCTTTTCCTGAGAAAGTGAAGTGTAAGTTATACTGTCAATCTTAGACAGTTTTATCTTAAAAAAAGACTGCACACACTATAAATGTTTGTGTGCTCTCAGTAGGAAGAGACACACCTATAGCACATACACACCCATGACACACACAATGATCTGTTCATACTTGCTCTTCTAAGAGGGAAAGACTCATGCAAGTCTTCAAGTGACCAAAGAAACCCTCACCACCCCAAATACATCATGTGCCAGTACATATGCTGCCCACAGTTTTAGAAAGATTCATACAAGACATTAAAATACACAACTTTAAACATACTCTTCACTCCCCATCACCAACTTCACACATCAAATACATACTTACCATCCAAGATGCACACTGTTAAAAAAAAAATAGTACCAGAGTGGCAGGCATATATATCATAGTTATAGGCACAACTCCTCAGGCAGGGATTCCCACCAGAATTATAGTCTTGTTGTGGACCAGGACAACCACAGAGCCAAGCAGAGCCATACCACAACATTGGGGAGCTAAAGGGACTAGAAAGGGCACTCAGACACAACAACCAGTAATTCTTGCTCTCCTTTGCTGTAGGAGATGATGTTTAGGACTGAAGACCCACTCAGTGCTGAGTGCCACAGATGAAGTGGCAGTGGAAGGTGGTGGAGAGAAGAGCTATTCTCATACCCTTCTCTGTGCAAAATGCAGAAGGGGGAATAGTGTCCCTCTAAGAGTAATTTCTTCATCCTCTCTATGTTCCAGAAGCAGAAAAGCCCACACACTGAAATAACAACTGTCCGGTGAAAGGCTCCTGATGATTTACAGGAGAATAGGAGGAAGAACATGATGAAGCACCATGAAAGAACTTCTATTTTCTCCTCATGTCTATAGACTCCAATGCAATTCCCTGTGAGCAGCACTGAGTAGATCCATCTTTAATGTAGGATCAGTTTAGGAAGCTACAAACATTGCAACCAGAAGTGCAAGAAGAAGTGCAACCAGAAGAACATGTTTCTAAAACCTGACATACATACAGACACATGCCCATTAAACAGGTCTGCCTCTGGCATATTCTCAAATAGTCTTGCTTTTCTAAATATAGCAGTCACCACAGGAGGACTGATTTTGACATCTCTCCACTTCCTTTTATTTCTCTATGGACTTTTTCTTCTCTTGTCTTCATCTCCATTTACCCCTAGAGCATTAATCATTTGCAGCAACCCCACTGGGACAATCACACTGGATGGCTTCCTGTACCCTTCCAGCTAGAACATCAAATTGAAGGGAAGGTTTGTGCCAGCTTCAGATTCAGCCAATATTCTTTCTAGATAATCAGCAGATACGATGCTACAAGTCTGATTCCATCAATTTCAATCCAGGTTACTGCGTGGTGTCAGCCTAATAAAACAAAGCAAAACAAAAGCTTTTCTTTCCCCTGGGATGTAGGACACCTTTACATAATGCAGTGAAACTGCTTCTCAAGCTGACATTAATAAGAGTCAACGGTTTTTCCATGGGCTGCCAGCACTGCAGAGAGATTAATAACAAATATCTCCAAATGACTGAAATGCCAATCCCCATCCTCCTATAGTTCAGCTGCATTTACGTACAACACTTGGACTCTCTGCAGAATTCAAGGTGGTTTCCATGTAAAAGGCAGCTGAAGGCAAACTATAAGGCAGAGCTAATATCCACACAGTGATGGTGAAATAAGGGAAGCACCTTCACTTTTAAAGGAACTCAGATCTTGTTCATGGCCTTTATTCTAAAAAGTCAGAAAATTCCCTGGAGAAGTCCTGAAAGGAGAAGCTGATCTCAAGCAGCAGCTGAGGACTGAATTTCTACTTAGCTGAGTGCTGCCTCCAGAAGTGAAACAGGAAGGAAAGCAAGAGAAGTACAAGGGCATATTAAAAGTCCTATTCTTAGGATCAGTTGTCACAAAAGACTATGTCAATTAGCTTTTTTACAAGTGAGTTTACGCAGTATGTACTTGTCAGAAAAATGTTCAGGGGTAAAAGGGACATCAAAATGATGGAGAGTTTCCATTCTCGTGGGATAGCCCAAAAGGGCATACCTAATATAACTTCAGTTCCAGAATAAAATCCAAGCTGTGGAAAGTGACACAGATAGCTGAAAAGTGCTGTCAGAGATTAGACTGTCAAACTCCATACAAAATGGAGAATGATCCTATTCAAAGTGTTGGGAGGTTTCAGAGAGATAGGCTGGACCAATGTGGGTGAGCAGGATTTTGGCTGAGAAACTTCAAAAACTTCTCTATGATTCTATTGGTTAGTCGGTCAAGAGAGGTTCTCCTCCCCCTCTATTCTGCATTGGTGAGGCCACATCTGGAGTATTGTGTCCAGTTCTGGGCCCCTCAGTTCAAGAAGGACAGGGAACTGCTCGAAAGAGTCCAGCGCAGAGCTACTAAGATGATTAAGGGAGTGGAACATCTCCCTTATGAGGAAAGGCTGAGGGAGCTGGGTCTCTTTAGCTTGGAGAAAAGGAGACTGAGGGGTGACCTCATCCATGTTTACAAATATGTAAGGGGTGAGTGTCAGGGGGACGGAGTTAGGCTTTTCTCAGTGATGACCAGTGATAGGACAAGGGGTAATGGGTGTAAATTGGAGCATAGGAGGTTCAAGGTGAATATCCAAAAAAAATTTTTTACTGTGAGAGTGACAGAGCACTGGAACAGGCTGCCCAGGGAGGTTGTGGAGTCTCCTTCACTGGAGACATTCAAAACCCACCTGGATGAGTTCCTGTGTGATGTACTCTAGGTGACCCTGCTCTGGCAGGGGGGGTTGGACTAGATGATCTTTCAAGGTCCCTTCCAACCCCTAGGATTCTATGATTCAAAGAGTTCCTCTTATGGACTGAATGACCTATTCCACTTTATCTTCTGATGCAGATCGTCCTATGCATGAGAGAGTCATGGACACTTCTTCACCTAAGAACCTACAGCAGTGAATATGCTCATAACATTAGGCTGGGCCTAAATTCAGCTCCTGTGTAAAACGTGGCCTTGAAACCCAGCTGATTGCACTGAGGCTCTTAAGTAAAAGGAGGATAAAACTAGTTACTTTTTGGCTCTACTGTTCACATATATATTACAAGACTGCTGTGTAAAAAGGAAATGATACTGACATGCCGTGAGCTCCCGAGATAGGAGTGAGATGTTTGGAGTCATGACATACCTCATAGAGGTCAATCATCACATTCCCCTCCAGCCCATGACTACTCTTGACATTTTCCAAGGCCAAGGTGAAGTACACCCCTCGGTTGTCAGAGATGTACAGGTTGTATGTGTCATTCTGGTTCCACTCTTGTACAGCTGCAAACACCTGATTCTCATCTGTGCTGATAACATGCATGTCCTGGGGAGAGAAAAGAGATGAAGGTTACTAGGGAGAACTCTGCTCTGTCATTTCCAAGGTCACTGAAGTAATTCTGGAGAAGCAAGGGATATATTGAGGCTGGAGTTTAATTGGAAACTGTAGACAACAGTCCTGTAAGCAGATAATTCCACCCAGTCATTTTTTATACTAGCTCTCTTCTGCCAATTTTCAAAGTGTTAATTAACTGATGAGGTGTTAATTGAACATTTACATTGGCAGTACAGTGTTATACAGCAGCACTTCCCTCCTCTCTACCCCCCAACACTTCCATTTTAATGAGCATTGTGTTTGAGAGGGAGTGGGCTGGTGCTTATTTGGTTTGGGGTTGGGTTTTTTTTTGGCACCTGTGTGATTCCACTTGCAATTGTGGAAACACAGATACTAAAAATATGTTAGTTTTTTTAAAGAAAAAAGAAGCAGTATCTGAAACATCAGATTCTTGTCAAGCAAGAACGCTTGGGAGCTGATACAAGGAGGATCTAACGGGTTAATGTCAGCAGCCAGCACTGCTGTTATTTATTATTTCAAATGGTAGCATTGCTTAGAGGCCAAGGCCCTGAGCCACTGAGCTAAACAGTTCCCCAAGAAATATAACCAAAAGACAACCCTAATCCTCACTAGATGTAAAGAGCAGAATTGTAGTTAGATCACTACTGTTATGACTGAGGGTTGTTTAACTCTTTTTGTTCTATGTGTTATAGCAAACAGAAAGCAATGAAAACATTGCATAATTAAAGAAAAAAAACAGAAACTATTAAACCCAATTCCTTTTTTCAATGCCTGAAGAAATTATTACCCAGTGAAAAAAAACATCAAGAGAGAGATCAATATAATGAAATTCCCAGGCTCTAACTGCACAGCACAGGAACCCTGAGTTCTTTGGTGCCATAAAAATCTGTGGACGTAGAAAAAAAATGCAAATTTCTTAGCACCAGTTGATTCCTGGAAGATTCAGATGCTCTGTCTGTAATGAGCAGATATACCAAAATTATTTTGCTTCCTTGAGTCTCAGCCAGGGCTTTCTATATGCAATCCTGAGAACTTCATCAGAAAATACACTCTTTGGAAGTTGAAGCTGCTTCTTCCTTCTGTTAATAATAATCTTTAACAATTCACTTTCTCATGGTTTTGTAGGGGGAATTAATACTTCCAGATGGAGCCTTGTAATATAAAGATGAAAAATAATATAACAAAGAAATTTGATCTGTAAGTTTGAAAGTGGATTCACCATGAATTTAAGATTCAAAATAGTTGTTTGTTCATCCAGATTTGAGTATGGAGGGGAGGAATATTCACTTGATTTACTTGCTTCTTTGTGCTGGAGAAAAATTTATCCCAGAAGATGGGCTGGTTTTGTGGAAGAACAGATTGGCTTAAATCCTGAGACAACAGGAAAAACAATGTAAGACCCAAGGTTTTCTTCTAATTATGGTTGTGAACAGATATCCTCTCTTAGCTCCAGCTGTGCTAGTTGAAGTTACTGCTGCAGCTGTTTGTCAGAGGATCCTTATTTCAGACTGTCACCTTAGTCAATCTGCTGGCAGATCTACTGGTAGATCTACATGAGTAGGTGTTCTCAATGTGCTGTCACTGCTAGTACAGGCAACACCAGCTATCACAGCTCTAATCTCACAGAATCACAGAATCTCAAGGGCACATGTGCATATACACATGGGCAGACCTCTCTATTTAAACACAGAGATTATAAGTAAAACTTGTTCTGTCTGGTGAATGTGCAGTTACACCTACTTGCCATTTTAATCAATAGTTTGGTAATAACCAGGGGGGAGAGGTAAAAACATAATTTCATCAACACCAGGGGAAACTAACAGCAATTTCATGAATGCTTAAGAAGCAAGAAAGTTAGTTCATTCATTAGATGTTTTCTGTATTTTGATCAGATCATGCTGTAAGCTGCAAGACTAAAGAAGATGCCAGTAACATTGAATTAATTTAATCCTGGAGAACCAGGTGGAGACAGAACTGGCATAATAAACACACTGCAAAAAGTAAAAAAAAACAAATAATGTTCCAACCATTTGCCTTTGTGGGATCAGTTAACTTTTCCTCTTAAGGCCTTGTCCAGTTGCTGCATTAACAATGCAGAGCTTTGATAGAAAGACATCAGTATATGGGCATCAAATAGGTTTTTGACCAACATCAGTAGTTCTTTTTTTTTTTTTGTTTCCACACTGGGAAACTTAATCAGCATATGATATCCAAATATGTAATTTTTTCAGGGTGTGGTTTGCCTTTTGGGAGGAGGAATAATCCAAAAACACAGCCTTCATCTTGATATGGAGAAGAGCTTCACTGCATCTTCCATTACAACAGCACATGTTTGTTTAATAGAATCAGAATGGCTAGGCTTGGAAGGGACCTTTAAGATCATCTAGCTCCAAACCCCCTGTGCATGGACAGGGACACCTTCCACTAGACCAGGTTGCTCAAAGCCCCATCCAAACTGGCCTTTCCAGGAAAGGGCATCCACAACCTTCCTGGGAAACTGTGCCAGTGCTTCACCACCATTACACTAAAGAATGCATCTACCCACAGAACAGGGGGGGAACAGGAAAGTGAAGTAAGGCACCTGTCACCAACAGTTGTCAGCCTCAGGGGCTCCCCATACATCTGCCTACTGAAAGCCTGAACTCCCTCTGTGCTCCAGCACATAGCAGAAGAACCTAAATACGTATCCACTATCTGTCCCTCTTGCCTTTCCAAAGACAAAAGTAAAAGCATGGTCCTGTGCAGGAGTTTGATCAAGTATCTATTCAAGACTAAAGGCCAAGGCTTTCTGAATTACTAAACATGCTTCAAATGCTCTTTTTGCACTTGGTCGGGGAACCTTTCTTCCTAGTAAGTTAAATAGCAGGGCTGTGTAATGTCGGTTTTATCCTGTCAATTACTGGGACTGTCAGCTCTTTTTAAGATCTGTATTTAAGGAATTTTTTTGTGTTCATTGCTTCTTCCATCTGGATGTACATCCTGAGGTTGAAAGAAAGTGATGAATTTAAAACAGAGGTACCACATGTACCCACCCCATCAGTATTCAGCCCAACACCAGTTAAGGACAGGTCTTTTTAAAAGAGAAATTGGTTGGCTTGTTTCAGTATTCGCAAACATCTGCTCAGTACATTAGTCTCAACTGGAGTGAATGTGCCCTGTGTGTACATTTAAGGCAATTATCACAAGTGACATTACAGCATCTGTGCAGAGCCCACCCTGGTGCTGTGGTACAGAACAGGCAGTACCAACCCACACATCAACATCACCACAGAAATGAACAGCTCTCAAGAAAGACCATCTATAGGGTTAACACAATCTCTATGCATATTTGCAGACACTTTGTATGAGACAGAGCTTCAAGTTCATTTAGGCTTTTAATCAAACTGGCTACCAGACTATCAATGCCAACAAGAAGGATATTCTAGTTTTGATTTGCTGTAGGCTATTCCTACGCAAGCAGCAGCATCACATGCCAAAGCTGCCTGCTGTCATAGCCCTCCAGTTTAGGAATAGAACAAAAATCTTTATATTTCCAACTTCAGTTCCAGAAGTCACTTAGTACTGTTTACTATATTTGGCCTCTCTTTCTTAGCTGAAGGAGATAAAAGAGAATTTAGGCATAAAATAAGCTGTTTGTTTCAATTCCTTGAATAGTATAATGCTTTATGCATTTTTAATAAAAGCAGCAATCCTGCTGTCATAGCAGCCTCCTAGACAGCTACAGCTCCACTGTGGGTCCCTCCAAGCCACATGTAGCTCTTTGGTCTTTGAAGATATTCTGAGATTGTGACAAAGCATCTTACCTCCCAAAATATCTGCCTTTTTCTTTGGGTCAAATAACACAAATGTATTGCTCCAGTTCCTAGTGTCAAGGAGGACACCACAATTGAATTGTAGTACATTTTCCCTGGCTCTCCAGAGATGTCTTTGAGAAGGTGGATCATTGGAAAAATAAGTATGAGCTGAAGGACACAACCAATTCAAAGCAAGAAGTCTCTCTACAGAGGGTGTGAATCAGCTGTAAATTATTATTTTGATTTGTGTGTTACAATAACCATGCTAAAAATGCAGCTACTTTGGTAAGGGCTACTTAATATAACACTTGTTTAAATTTTATCTGAATTGACAGAGTAGTTCCCTCCTTCTTGGACAGGAAGTTTCAAACCAACCTATTTTTAAACATGACTGAGGATTTTAGGGCAAACCACAGGTCTCCTGTGACAGAGCCAAGAGGATATCATGACTTCTGGTAGGGTCCTCAATGTCCTGTAAGCTGAATTTTCAGGTGATGTAAATAGCAGCAAAGGATACAGCTTAAGTATGAGCTGCAGTCTGGTTTTATGAAGGTCAGTCAGTCAATTAACTATAAACAGGTTAGTTGGGTTGACGAATCAAAGACAGACAGTTGTGATATTAGCCAAATTATTCCTTTGAATACTTCCATATACGAAACCTGTTGCACTTTGAACTTCTAGGAACAGGTTGACCTTGCACTACCTTTTTTTCCTTTTGACAATCCTTAATTTCTGGGAATGCATTTGTCTCCAGACATTAGACCTCACATAGAATTTTGCTACCTTTGAGCTTAAATTTTATTAAAGTCAGATTATATCAAGAATGAAGAAGGCCTCAAAAAAACCCCACATCTGTCTCTGTTAAGAAGTCATGAGGATACAAAATGGTGATCTCTTCAAAATGGAGCTATCATTTTATATAGGTGTTTTTAAATATTCAGCTCCAGAAGGCAGCAACAGCCTTTCAAGCTCGAATGCTAATTCACCATTGTTCTTAATTAGGGAAGATATGGAGCAGACATACAAAGACATCTCTTTACTTGGTTCCCATTAAAATCTGCTAATGAGGCAAAGCACAAAAAGTAACCCACAGAGCATAGGGACAGGAAAAGAGAATTTTAAGACCCAAAGAAAAAAAGAATAGAGTCCCTTCCAAAATTTAATTAACAAACTATAAGGAAATGGTCTACACTTCATGCTGATGTCCTTGACTAGCCAATGTGCTGATTCTGTGTTCAGTCCTTTCTTGCTTGCAAATGTTCTGTTAAAGAAGAATGATGTTTTCACTCATTACATGTAATTTTGCAGTTACTTGTGTTCGATTCAAGAATTTCTGTACAATTAAACTATCTGTAGGTTCCATTCCAGCAGCAGCAACCTACCTTGGGCAAGGTGTACTTTGGAAGCTTCATCTGAACAAATGCATTCCTCCTATAAGAAACGTAATAATGTGGTCTTCCTCCTGATGTCAACTACAAGAGAAGCAGGAAAGTTATTTTCAGGATTTCTAAAATTATTTTTTTCATTACCAGGGAAAATACCAAGCAAAAGATGCCACAGGAAATACAACAGTGTTTGTGGCAATGCCTTAAAAATGCAGCAATACTGTAGTTGATGAATAAACATTAGTCCAACAGACAGTGGCTGCAAAAGAAAGCAGAAGGAATCACATTTTCTGCAAAAAGAGACAAAAGCAAGAATTACAGGTCAAAGTCTAGGGAAAGTGAAGCCCTGGTCATTATGTCCTCAGCTGATACCACAGCTCTCCTCTGCTTTACCACAAAAGAGCCTGTTCTGTGCGCTCTGCAGAGCTGCTTTGTAGGCTATTGGTTAGGTCTGCAAGTTGCCAGACATGACTTTTCATTTCTGTTTCTCCCTTCAGCTTTGGTTTCTGTGTAGCCCTGTGCCACATAGGTCTCTGTTCAGATACATCTGTGTCACATGTATCTGTTACAAGGTACCTAAGTATTCACAGCTCCTGAAGACAGAAGCAGCTCAGCCGCTTTGGTAGTTCTGTGAATCTGGCCAGTTATTTGAGTATCTAAATACTAATGGCAAGACCTTGAAATTGTTACGTTGGGTTAGAATAATGAGAAGCTTCATTTCCTACCACTTATTAAAGGGAGGGAAAAATGGAAAAAAAAAAGCTGTCAATGTTATCTGGCTTCCAGTGCTGCTGAAGTATAATCAATGTTTGTAAAGTCCTTTGAAATCTTTGGATGAAAGATACTGAAGAACAAATATTCCAAAGGATTCTTCATGCAGAACTTTGCTTTAATTGCCTGATATCTGGGCTTATCAGGACTTTTCTTCAGTAATAAGTGTTTTAAAATGCACTGAAGTAATTTAAAATGCAAGATACATAGAGACAAGGATCATACCAGATTAAGTAAAATAAGTACTATTTCTTATTCTAAAACTCTTTAACAATTTTTTTAAGGGGATTTGGCAACGCTTAGGGGAAGGAAGGGCAGAAGCCTTGTTTATAAGACAGCGTGATTTTGTAAATTAAAAACGGTGTAGTGGGTGAAATAAAACCACCTTTCCTTATCCTCCTGCTTTAGAGCCCACTAAGTCTCGTTTCAAATGCCTTAGCTGCAGAAAAGCTAGTGGGGGGATTCAGGGAAGGCAGGAAAGGCTAGGGGAGGGTGTGCAGGGTGTTCATCTGTTCTTCCAAGCCTTTACTGTCTGGTATAGGGCTATTCATCTGCTGAAGAGCAGTGCCTGGGAAAAGGCAGAGTGTGGCATCAGTAATGCCTTGTTACTTAGCTGTTCCTTGCCAACTAGATACCTACATAACCACCTGAAGGGTCCCATTTTAAATTACTAGCCAACAGTGAATTCACTGGCTACTTCAAACAAAGCACAGGTTGTTTCTAGTGATTACAATATTATTATTTGACACCTGTAATTGTCTATTATTAATGATTATCAAGTATTATCTCTTCAACATGTTATACTTATTTCTGTTAAAAGTCCTAAGAAGTTTAAGGTATAAATGGAAGATTTCCAAATCTGAATATTATTATACCTTCTCAAATTACATTATGAACATGTACATATAAAGCTGTTCAAAATCCAATTGGACATTAAAAGGAAATTCCTAAGAGGCTGCCTCTCCTCACATGCTCGTTGCACTGTGCAACCAGCACAGAAGTGGAACAAAGCCAAAATTTTACAGTGCTGGGAACACTATACATCACATTCATATATACTTCAAAATACAAGGACTATCCAGAAAGGCAGACATTGTTCCCCAGCACTGTCTTCAGACGAGGCAAAGGAGCTGGTGTCAGAGCACAAAACCAAGGCATCAGTGATGAATCAATTCATATATGACGAGAAACTCCCCAGCTTCTGGATCCACAAACACAGTTATTCTGAAATGAGAGCATGGCTGAACAGTGGTATGTGCCTCTGATTTCCTTACCACATAAGCACTTAATTTATGCCTCAGACACTCTAGGCACAAAAACTATTCTGGAATGTATGTCTCATATTTATTTGCGGATGATTTATACTGGTGTTTATGACTGAGTTCATTAACTGAAGGTAATTAACAATCAACTCACCCAATTTAAAATATCACTCCTCTCTTCCTTCTATCCCCAATCATGGGAGAATGTGAACTATCTGAAAGACTAGCTTAGTCCTAATAATTTCCAGTTCACCTCCATGTTCCCTGCAATTCTGTTGTTATTTTTGTCCTCTTCAGCTATTACTAAATGGACACTGGCAGCAGCATGATGAAACTCACAGTAGTTCAGGTCTATTCACCAGCTCTCAAGTGTAACACAGCTTGACTGAGTACATCTCATCTTTTCACTATAATCACAACTGAGGCATAACAATAATGCCTGATTACTCCTTCTTTGGTTCTTCCCCTGACTCCCTCCTTCCTTTTCTATTTCCTTCTCATGCTCAAAAAAACTTTAGTCTGCTCCCTTGTAATAGCAGATGACTGACACATCACTTCAAGCTAGGTGGCTAAAGCAGTAATCCTAGAATGCTGATGAGATTGCAGGGAGTGGCACAAGGCACTCCACTCCAGTATATATGGTGGGTGCTCCAGGCAGGAGCTTCATGACCCTACAGTGAGAAGACACTAGAGGTAAAAGGAACACTATTAGCATTGTAATGAACTGCTACAATCCACTCAGTGTCTTTGTTGTTTGCATCCAGTGTTGTCTGTTTAACTGGGAGCTGACACACATGCCCACACACACAAATTAATGGAACAGAAAATAATAGAACAGAATAGAATAAAAAGGTGTTCTGCACCTGAACAAAGACATAGTCATCCTGGACGATCAGGGAGTTATAGTCAATATAGCCTGGAAAGGGTTTGCTGCGAGCGGCTTCACTGCAGTTCTGCATCTTGCAGGTGACGTACTGCGCATCTGAAAGGAAAAGACCAAAACCAAGACACCTGAGTTCCTGAGCACAGATTCTTCCTACTGTCACAAACATATTTGCTGGGACATCATTTCTGCTTTTCAGCCTCACGTGACATGAAGTCACACGATCCTTTTGATGCAACACTTCTCTCCCTTATGCCCCTTGTAAATCTACCCTTGATTACTTTCTTCCTTTAAGCTCCTTCCTTCTTCACCTGCCTCAGCCTCCCATTATTGCTTTCATTCCACCCTACATCAGAGCTCTACATTGCTCCTTTATACCAAGAGAGAGCCCAGCATAGCTGATCTGATGACTCCATGCCACTCTTGGGGTTCTATACTGGAAGTAGACCAGAGGCAGTATTTGAAGGTAGCACAATATATTGCTTGTGGCTCAGGTCTGACAGAAACCTAGTCAAGGGTGTATCATTTAGCAGTTATCTGTCCTGCTGAGTTCACTTGGATGCTACCCAGCATTAAAAGCTGACATCAAGGACTTGAGTGAAGGAACAACAGAACTGTGAAGCACCCTTTAGAGAGGCAATGAATGGCCCAAAACCTGTGACTCCCAAAGTGACTATGTGTCTGAATAGTTGGCTCTATGCTGCAGGACAGATACTCTCTGTGCTGAGCCTGTACATTTTCCTGTCATCCCCATGGTGTGGAATCTGCTGTAGAGCGTGACAGCTTCTTTTTGGTCACATACTGAGTTTGTTTAGAACATGGCCTAGGTCAAGAGCACACACAGGTATGAGAACACCTGCCCATAGGGTCACCACTAAGAACCCCTTCAGCGGTGTACCTCTGTATTTCCTACAGCACTTACACTCTGTAGAATAAATCAGATCACCTTAGAAGGTAACTCAGACCACCTCCCATACAAGGTTTTAACCTACTTGACTGTTGACAGTATAGGAAGACACACTCTGGCAGACCTGAGTAATCATTCCATACTCTGTTGAAACTAGAAGCCTTAGCAGTTTCCATCAGTCATATGTTTCAAAGTAAATGGCCTAAATGCAGCCCCCTAAAGCCATCACATTCACTGTCACTGTATGGGATGTCCTCATCTCCTATTCTGAAGCACTGCAGTGTGCTCATCTCATAATCTGCCACCTGAAGAAAAACAATTTCAATTTCTTCATGGTGGCAATTTATCCTAGAATATAGAACAAGATTTTTAGTATTCAATGCAGGCTCTTTCAGATCAATTAAGAAACTGCACTTTGTCTAATGACTACGCTGATTTTCAGGAAGAATTATTGTGTTTTAGCATTAGCACTTACATGACAGAAACACTACATGACATTTAATGTTAGAACTACTTCTAATCTTCTTCTTGTTGGAGAAGCGCAGACCCTTGTTTGATATAATTACAACCTCCTGATCAGAGAAGCAGAATTTTAGACTGAAATAGAAATGGCTGGATTTTCCCCATCTCGTATTTAATCTTAGTTTTAATTAAAATATATAATTTGACATTTCTTTCTTTGCTTCTAAGGGCCATTAACTTCTGCCTGAAACAGACATGAAGGGTAACAAACCTTCAGGAAAGTTTGATGAGGGATGATTTTGCCCCAGCATTTGAAGTTCTTGGAATACATAAAGTGCTATGTATTTTTAGTCCCTGCAGTTTATAACATTTTATGCTTTTGCAGCTCACTGCAAAACTTTAATTTATACGGCCTGGACAGCATGATCAAAATGCATTTCCCTGCAGAGGGACATGATTTTTTCCACATTAGCCACCAGAGGGCAGGGAATGACATATCTCCCAGGCTGCTCATTTCAGTGAATTTAGGGGAGTTCCCTTTCAGAGCTGTTCTGTCCTCTATCCCTCTGCTCCCAGGAAGGAGGGAGACAAGGGGGCCAGTGGCTATTCTACCACCCAATAGTACTGTGTCGTGTAGTATGTCCCCTCCTTGTCATAAAGAGGAGACCAGGCACGCATTTCTTCACCTGCAACACAACTAATTCTCACTTCTCCTGTTCAGTTCGATCCATTGTATCAGGAAGAACAGCACCTCAACACCTGCCTCCACATTCACAGAATCCTAGAACAGGTTGGAATGGACCTTTAAAGGTCATCTAGTCCAAACCTTCTGCAATAAGCAGGGTCATCTTCAGGTTGCTCATGGCCCTGTCCAACCTGATCTTGAATGTTTCCAGGGATGGGGCATCTACCATCTCTCTGGGCAACCTGTTCCAGTGTTTCGACACCCACAATGTAAAAAAAATGTCTTCCCTACATCCTAAATCTCCTCTTTTAGTTTAAAAACGTTACCCATTGTGTCCTCTTGCAACAGGCCCTGATAAAAGGTCTCTCCCCTTCTTTTTCATATGGCCCTTTAAAGTTCTTAAAGGCTGCTATAAGGTCTCCCTGAAGCCTTCTCTTCTCCAGGCTGCATAACCCCAACTCTCTTAGCCTTTCTTCACAGGAGAGGCCCTCTCTCAAAGGCCACAAACATTTTTGTGGCCCTCCTCAGGATCTGCTCCAAGAGGTCCATGTCTTTCCTATGCTGACATCTCCAGATCTGGATGCAGTGGTCCAGGTGGGGTCTCTCACTCTGTCTTGTGAAGGTTCCTGAGTGAAATTCCTAGGAATCCTGAATTTAAACAAAGCAGCATCAGTTGAAATGGCTGGCCCCACCACCCTCTGAGCTGTTGGCAAGACTAGATGGCTTTTTACAAATGGGATTGAATCATCCAGTGAAGAGCTACGTAGGATCAGACCTCTGTTCCCCACCTTTTTTCCTCATTTCTTCCCCCATCACCTTTGTCTCCTTTTACTTCCACAGACACTCCAGCTATCTAGGACACACTAAGAGAAGACTACAGTGCTGTCTTACTTCCCATGGAAACCTGTCCTGAGAGCAGGAGAAGGTAACAGGCCAGGTGTTGCTGGGACCAGCCCGCAAAGAAGATTAAGACATCTCCTCCACAGAAGAGTTTAAAGAAAAGGCCAAGTTGACATTCATTAGAGGTGACTGACAATTTTTTGACCCTGTTTTAAGCAAGGAATGGGAACTATGTTGGTTTCTGCTGTGATTGCAGGAGTCTGTGCAGCAGTGATTGTACCATTGATGAAGATTTACTAAGGCAATTCCTGTGAACTTTTACAGTGCCATTCTCCACAGCTTCAATTCTAAAATGCCAGTAAAAACTACCAAAGGGCAGAGCACTGAAATTGCCTAAGCTTATCTCCCCAGCAGCCAAAATCTGAGATGTGTACACCAAAAAAAAGCACTCTCTCCTACAGAAGATAGAAAGAAGGAAAAACAGACTTCTTGTGGTGCCTTGATCTCTCTTGTTTCCTAAAGGAACTTTTGTTGTGCTCACATAAACACAAGGATTTTGTTTTGGCATTTGATTATCATGGACATTTTATGTGATTCCATTGGCAGAACTTTGCAATTTAGCATTAATTAATGTCAATTAATGTATTCAATTGCTAAGCTGTGGAATTAATTTCATTAGTTTTCCTGCACAGATGTTTTCCCTGCCATAGGTAATTAGGACATTATGCTTTTCACTTCCAGAACCCTTACCTCCAACAACAGCTGCTGTTTTTAATATACAGCAACTAAGTCATGCTGTGCCTGGAGAGAAGAACATAGCAACTCCCAGCTCTTATACCCCAAGACACAATGATTTTGACAGGTTTAGACATGTAGAGTAGGATTCTTCTCAGGGAATGGCAAGGGTTTTTAAAGAGGAAGCAGGAAAAGTCACAGAACAAAAGAATGGAGGAGACATCTTGTATGGGAAACCTCTGACAAAATTAATCTATTTCAGTGGTGAAAGAGAATTGCAAATGCCAACACGTAGCAAAAGAGCCAGGGGGACCCTGTGCCATTAAATCTTTTACTCTTTTCTGTTTACCCTGAGCTCCATGGTAGTATGATCTCAAGGGAAACGCATCCAGCCTGTCCCAGGGACATTTCTTGGCTGAGTTGGTGGAGACGGAAAGATGTTGGTGGTTATCGGATGGATGGCAAGCCTCTGCCAAGGTACACAGGTAAGTTTGAAATCCCTTGGTAAAGCAGAGTAGGACTTTCCTCAGGATACTTTGTTGCTAAGTGTTAATACGGATGACATTTCAGACTCTAATATCCACTGCTTTCTAGTCTAAGCTTTATTTGATCACAAGGAGAGTCAGAGAAAACCTTCACTATACTCTCTGCAAATACATCCTTTTTTATTGTCTTTATTTCATTGAGGAATGTGTCCTTTTCTCTACAAATGAATTTTTCACGAACAAATCAGCAGTTTATGCAAAAGAAGTACCCACATAGTCTATGACTCGTTCGCCTTCCATGTTTACTATAGAGTATCCCAGTTCATTACTGAGCAGCTTAGACACTAGGAATAGTTTCTGCTTTTGAAGGAAGATCAACATCCTGTAACTAATGAACAGTAAGAATATGGTAGTAACACGTATTGCTGAAAGATCCAGACCTGCAACCCCTCTCCAATGACTAATAATAGAAGCCTAGAAAACAGTTTTAAGAATTTGCCAGAGTGCCTTGATATTCCAAGGTTCTCCTTCAGAACCCACAACCTCCCATGGCAATAAGCTCTATAATGTAATTAAATGTTCTCTCATACTTCAATCTTTCTCCTCCTTTTTTTGAGAAACACACAAAATGACTGCTCTTCATACATTTCCATCTGGTCTGAATGTTGATCTGTGAAACATTTATCATATGGGAATATATTCTCAACTCCCCAGGATGCAGCAACTGCAAAGCAATTAAACAGTAATGAAGATCAGTGACATGAAGCCATTTCATTTACTAACTACTCACAAATCTGTTTCTATCCTGCTGGTACTTTTTCTTCATTGCAAGCCAGTCAGAAATCTTTCTTTATATGGGGAAGTATATCCTCTGCCATTTCTGGCATAAGGCTGTAATTAGAGAAACTTAACAGATATCATTCTCCAGGACAAACACTAATCATGATCAGGAAAAAAAACTACCCCTAATCAGGGAAAAAAAAAAAAAGAAAAAATCACTGCACATGTTTAGGACACTATGGGAATTAATTCACCACTCAAGCTATGTTAGCAAAAGACTGTCACGCTAAGCTGCTTACTTGTTTTTTCCACAACAGTGATTATTTTATTCTTCCTAGCAATGTACTGTGAAAACAGAAATTAAGGTCCTGGCACAACTTCGTGATTCAGATACTATTGGCCAGATGCTCAGTCCCTGTTGATCAGCAAGTAGAACATGGCTGCTCACCCCAGGTGAGGCTTTGGTCTTATCTACAGTCACAGCAGCACCTAAATTACCTTTCAATAAGAAAAGCTGCTGTATAAAACAGGAGAACAGAAGAAAAGCAAAGGAAACAAAAGTACTTTCCAAATATCAAAAACTCTCTAAATTTTTGCCAACATTTTAGAAGACCCCTTAACTTCTTTCATCCACACTTAAAAAAAATATACATAAAGTAAAAACTTTACTCAAAATTAATTGGCATCTATCTACATAAACAAATGCATATCTCATAAACAACCTCTGAGTCAACTCTACCATTCCCTGAAGAGTCAGTAGATGCCCAGTTAGTTTCTAAATGCCTTGCAGGAATCCATCTTTATAACTCTCACTAAAAGTCTGGATTCCTCAGAAAGTATCACTTGATTAAAAACTACCACCCATGTCAATTAGCTTAAATCAGGTCTTACTGGGATAATCCTCCCTAACTCATGTTATATAAGCCCACTAATTAAGGTCTTTCTTTACTTGTACATTCTTTACAAACCTAAAACCCACATGTCATTAAGTTTACACATCTGCAAAAAGCATTTCAAGCTGCATTTGAACAAACCTAGCTTTAACCTCCACCAGTTTCTCTGCCTGATGGCTACAGTGGTGAAAGTTACAAAGAAAAGCTTATCATGTGGTTAAGAACTGTAGGGGATTAATTGTCATACTGGGATGTTGACCTAAAAGCAGGCAAAAAAAAATTCCACAATTCCTGCTAACTTTGCTGGCTCTCCTTTGATCCTGTTCCAGTATCAAAGTGAAAACATCAGGGACTCCCAAGTGTACAAATGGAAATGTGAGATAAGGTTCATATGAACTTCTTCCAACCAGAAAAATACGTCTTACCACTGTGCTCTCTTTCCCAGCTTGGCTTGGATTGGGCCTCAAGCCGTTAAAAAATAAACAAATTTGCCTGGTGCTCTCCAAAATGTACATAACAGGCTTAAAAACATATATGACAATTATTAGCCCAGCAAATCTACCTCCATCAATACAACTAAATTGCATTCTGTACTTATGTTGTTCATCACTACCTACACCCTACTTTGATGAGACACAGTGTTTTCAGAAGAAGTCCAGATTTTTCTGGATCCCAAGGAAAAAAGCAAAACAAAACTGTAGGGAGAGTATGTGCTCAAGTACAACATTGCTAGCCAGATCCTTAGCAGGTGTAAATCAACATGCCACTGAAGTTATACTGATTTATGCCTACTAAGAGACTCCTATTTTGGTCCTTGTAAACCTTTTTCATTATGTATATAAACACAATAAATAACATGCACAGACAGACCATAATCAGGGAGCAGAGACAGAGAGTTATTGGTGTTCCAGCAGGGAAAGCCCAATACTAAGGATGTTGCTGATAGATGTTCTCAAACAACCCCAGCCAGGGAGATGGGCTAACACCAGACTCTGCTGACATTTCTACTTCTTTTCACCTAAAGCTGCAGTGGTACTACTCAGCTTCTGCTGGAAAAGATATAGCACAAGAATGAAGTGTTTTTTCTTATTTGTACTGAGTTCA